TTTTTCAATTTGTTGGGTACATGGAAAAACTAAATTTTTACCTGGCCTATCTTGATGTCTGAAATTGGTTATATGGCCCGCCAACAAGAAATGTTGTACACCCATGGTTTAAAGCGTACAGAATTTAAAAGAGAAGTTTACGCCAAAAGACGTGGTATGTATTCACTCGCCTAAATCGATACATTCCATCTTCGCGAAACGATATTTCGGTTCCATTACATTTGCACCTATTTAAATTTTTTTTTCACGAATATTTGAACACTAACCCATGGATTTTAGCACCCGCATATAGATTGAACCCGCGGATATACCGGGGCAAATGTCCGTGGGTGCAAATGTACGGTCACCCGATATTTCAATCTCCTCTCAGATTCGAGACCGATAAACACCTGAAACAAAATGGCGTCGGCTGTGTTCTTCAGCATCTCAATTCAAATATTACATAAATAAAAGTATGTGGTCTGAAGAACTTTCGTATTTTGATCATTGAATGTTAAATTTCCACAAAACAATATAGTTCACTTCCATGCCTGATTAAGAATATAAAAATTTTGATAACGAGAATCAATTATGGTCCCACCACTAACTATCTGATCTTTTTCGCTGATTCTGTTTTGACATAACTAACTCATTTGAGGTTACTTATCCCCTGATGCGCATTCATCCTGACCTAGTCTACGATGGATAAAATAATGATAAAAAAAAAGAAATATGAAAATTTGTGGTGGGGCAATAACAGGCTGGTCTTCACATCGAATCGCCCATGTTCCTCGACTGTCATGTTTCTAATTTTGTTAACTTATGGAATCAGAGTATGCCAAGTTTTTTGTACATAATAAATTAGCCCAGTTGAGTTTTATCGTTCCCATTGATAGATACAATTTTCCAGTGGCGGCGCGTTGTCATTTTGACAACCGGGGCAAGCTACTGCGGGACCAAGTCACCCCCATCTACGGGGACAGGATGAGCGCTGTAAGTTCTCCCATCATTTTATGAGTATAAAAACCATTCCATCGGTAACAACCAATCGGCAAAAGCGACAATTTTTAACGATAAGAAAGTGTCTTTAAAACCGGTCCAAGTCAAGGGATTAATAAATATAGACATAGTTTATTTTGAAACCTCTTTCAAAAGGAAAGGCAATTTAAATACAATGACATATTAACAGAAACTTCGGGAAAGCAGACAAAACCTAAAATATGGTTTAAAACGTTACTATGAAGAAAGGAAAGGTAATGCAAAGATAAGGACATGCGTCGCTCACTCATAGATATATATGCTGCTAGACTTCTACTGCTTGAACATATATGCGACACGCCGCGGTTTCTTGGAAGCAAAATGCTCAATAACGCGCTGATTAAAGTCATGCATCCCAGAAATAACGTCTCCGTGAATGGATAAAACAGCCAAGGAATTTAATCTATCTTGCTTCATTGTGTTTCTGAGATATGTTTTAATACGCTTCAGCGTGCTGAATGTTCGCTCTGCGTCGGCGGAAGAGATAGGCGTCGTCAAAATGATGTCCAGAAATTTTGCAGACGCCGCAAAGGTAGTTACTAGAGTGTTATCTATGAGGAACCCATGGAGAGCGCAAGTTGATGTGACGTTCAAAAAAGTTTGATTGGTGTATATACATCGCAATTCATTTTCTAATTTACCTACGTTTATCATGGGGTAAAATTTGGAGACAGTAGCCAACAAATGGATGGGAAATTGACGTGCAAATTTTGGAAAATTTTTGGGGTTCATCAAAGAGAACGCGGCAAGGTGTTCAGTGCGCAGACGATCGCCTATTTGATTCACCAGAATGTCACAGCATTCCTTTGCAGACAAAATCAAACGCTGCGTTGTTTGCCCGCGGCGTAAAGAAGCACTCCATGTGTCGTCGTATTTTATTGTTTCCCGGATACGAGATACAGCATCGCAGAAGTCTGAAATACACGACTGCACAGACGCTCCATCCATTAGCCTTGACTGCAATGCGCCGTATAATACATCCACGTGATAGAATATTGTGGAGAAAAAAGAGAGAAAAAATGAAAACTCACCATCTTCTAGCAGACGCTTCAGACCTGCCGCCTCCCTCACAGAGCGTTCGTCCCAACCGGAGAGCTCTGAATGCCATTGAAACACTCAATGAGCTCAAGAGCTAATTTCGGACACGCCCTGCACCACGCGTGATTGGAAGTTCCAACGTGTTGGTGCACAAGCTGGGAGACGGCGGCTACATATCTGGCGAAGGAGGTCAGAGCGCTTCGGCGAAACGAAAAAAAATGAAGAAAACCCCGAAACATTTGCAAAAAATATACGGACGAGAGGGGTATCAAGACACATATTTTTAATAACGAGGTTAAATTGGTGTGCATAACAATGTAAAAAAATGCGCATGAGGAAAATCTTCTTTTATATAAACTTGAACACCATGTTTCGACCCACTCATTACTGCCGCGCCGTCATAAGTTTGAGCTATCAATTTTGACTTCGCGTTGTAAGGCTGTAACACTTCTTTCAGTGCAGCCGATATCCCGCAAGCCGTGCGATCAACGATTGGTACAAAGCTGTGAAATCTCTCGGTAGGTTTACCATCTTTCACAAACCGAAAAATCAGAGCCAGTTGGGAAACGCACGAGATGTCAGTTGTCTCGTCAGACTGAATCGAAAGGAACTGGCAATTCTCAATTTCCAGAGCCAAATGTTGTGAATAAATTTTATACATTGAGTCGAGCAAATCATTTTGGATATCCTTAGATGTCCCTTTCGAAACAGTTGCGGCATCAAGATGATCTCTCAATACTGTATCTAGGGATGCGGTGTATTCCACCATATCCAAAAATATCCCTCTATTAGAAGAGCCAGCCCGTTCATCGTGTCCACGGAGGGACAGCTCGTGACAACCAATGAACTTCAAAACATCTATCAATCGACCGAGAACATGGCGGTTTTTCTCGACGTTTTGGTTGTGCCGACGAGTAGAAACCGCGCGTCCTTCATCCAACTGTGCTGCAATATTAACATTTCCGAATGTTCGGTATTTTACTGCATTTTCCAGATGCTCCATAGAAGATTGATGATCCCTGGCACGCTCGGAAAGATGTTTAAGATCTCTAAAACCAAATTTACACCAACGTGAGTCACGGGCGGTAGCAAAAAGTAGGCAATAAAAACAAAAAAAGTGCATTTTTGTCCTCGCTGTAACACAACCATTCGTGTTTTTTTTATACCAAGTTTCTGCGCAGAATGTACGCCGACGCTTTCCTCCGTCATGGGATTGTTCCAGTGAACAATTTTTTGGTTGATAAGGCCCAAGACGTTGTACCTCTAATTTTTGTTCCAGCGGCAGCTGCGAAAACGGAGTGCGAAGTAGTGCATCAACCTTATTCATTATGAGGTCTAAGGCTAAGAAATGCGAAGCCGGAAAGAAGTGAGGAGCCCGAAAGGAATGTGGAAAATTGAAAGCAAATGGACTAAAGGTCTCTTAACTGATTCAAATAGCGAAACAAGGGACAAAAACGAAGGCGAGGAAACTATCAACTCTTCAAGCAACCAACGAACGAGAAGGAATGCGTGATTATGTCAACACGCTGTTGTAAGAAACGTCGGCATTGTGTCGTCATAATTTCGGGGCTAGCCCCGATGATTTAGTAAAAGAAACAGAAAACAAACGAGACAAATGCGGCGAGTGGAAGATAAAAGAGAGAATACGATATACAATGAGCAACCGGGGCAAAATCGGCGTCGCCCCGTCGACGTTCGGCGAAGGCTTTGCGAGCGAAAAATGAACCATGTCGGGAGAATATGGCTAGTGTAGACAGTCTGTGCAACCGATATTGAGGTACTTTTCGAATATTTTTTATTATACCGAAAAAACAACCGGGGCATTGCCCCGGTTGGCCCTATTGACGCGCCGCCACTGCCTGCAACCATAAATTCTTTGCGACTATATGATATGAATTCTCTAAGCTAGGTCTTGTCAGCTGTCGGCAACTTGCTGTATTGTAGATTAAACGTATCGTATTGACAATGTTAACTTTAAAGTGATTTTACTCGAGGATTATTTGTTTCACGGATTTATCATAAACATTCATAGACAGTACGAAGAAAATCAGATGAGATGTTTACTACTACAATGGCGTGTCATGTCCTACCGGTACCCAACGTTCCCAGGGTCTCGTGTAGTTTCGTATCTAACCTACTTCTAGTAACAATAACAATTTTTTGATATGTCAATAACCCCAATCTGACTACGCCATCCAAAAATTACGTCACTACGACATCACAATCACGTCATAGAACTTGCCAAATATACGTACGATCGCCCGAAATGGCATCGGCGCCGACGATAAAGAACTGACAAACGTCATCGATTCTCTCCTATTGGGATCGTTAACGTCATCGATTCTCTCTTATTGGGATCGTAGCGACGAGAAAACGAGAGAAATAGCTGTTCGACTTCGGGTGCTCGTCTGCGGACTATACTGAGGTGTGGTTTTAAGTTTTAACCCCATACTCGACCTTGTAGGCGGCATTCCCCGTGTAATTTGTCCGCACGCGAAAAAAAAAACAAATTTGACACTGTTCCGTTAATTTCGTCTAACCTTGGACTACTACCTGGCTAACTATACCTCGCAGAAAGGTAGACTGCTGAATATATTATATTCGCCGGGGATAAACGATAACAATTTACTAAAGCTTGTCGTCATCCACATTGAACACCATCATCAAAAAACTTTTATTTTTGCGTGTAGGATAGATTTTAAATAACACAAGGCTGTCGTGTGTCGTTATAAATGCCACAGAGCATAGTCCAATTATTGCGACACAATGTTTGACTTTATCAATTGTTTGCTAATACGCATCAACGCGCTGTGTGATTAACAAGTCGTCGCGTTATGTAATTCTAAACAACTGCATGTGTCTAGACTCCAGAATAATGAGGGTTGAGGGTTAAATGCTACGTGTAACGAATGTTCAAGACTAGATTCTAGAACAATCGACAACGCCCTACTGAAGCGGAGCCTTTGAAATCACTGTCGGAAAAGGCGGTCTAGGGCAGATTGGGAACTGTTGCAGTGATTAAAAGATTTGAAGAGATAGATTTTCAGTTGTTCGCCATTTTACGAGGGATTTGGATCGATTATATTTTCATCTTCATTTCAAGGAGAAGAAATTCGATAAAACAGATCAATCATACGGCAAACCACTGCCGGCTCTAGTCCATATGTGTTTGGGAATAGTTAGCCAGTTCTTTATTTCTGTTTTATATGTATAAACTGAATGATGGTGAAGCACTAACCGACCAGCGAATACGTGAACCAACCACCATACGACGGTGAGAAGTCCAGCAATCCTCTCGCACATAATTATCCCCTTTTGATACCGTATGGACCGTTATGTATCTCCAGCCGATAGCCATAGTGTAACATGTTTAACTTCTTTCAGCTCGTTAGAAATATTTCAGATTATAGGAAATAAAATTGTCCACTTTTAAGTCTTAAATACTTGATCTTCAAACAAGTATAGCCATACTGGAACAAATGGCAGAAGGGGATCAGCCTCAGCAACAAGTTTTTCATCTTTATTTTGGAGGGAAAAATATTAGTGTCCAAGGAGATAATGCCGAGTAAGTTTTATGATTTAATGCGAGGTTATACACTCACTCTTCAGTCAAAAAAATGACCATATTGCCAGCTACCACCGAAATTCCAAGAGCTACTGCGAAAGATTGCAAGGAATTCGTTTAAACTCATATTCTAGTTCGCTTCATGTCCAATACCCTATGTCAGGCCTGCACAACTCGAATTACCACGAGGGCCGCAAGCATAAATCTGAGGGCCCGGGGGGCCGCAAACTTTGCCACATACATAATTCACAAGATGAACTACAAATCAAAATAATATTGTGAAACAGTTAAATTTAATGAAACACTTTCATTACTGGGGAGCTTAAAAATATTAAAAATCTTTTTTTCTATAGTAAAATCAAGGTACGTTATTTTTGCATATGAGATGGCAAATATGTATTTAGTGGCTCATCTACCTTGAAAACCCACCCTTCATTTTCAATATTTCTTTTTTATTAGAATCAGGTATTGCGTGTTGCAGTATAAACTGACTGCAGGAAAATATTTTACTCAGGTTCAGTCTTGTAAAATCGTCCCAAATATAATTTATGTATGACAATTTATTTAATCATATCTACCATAATTGGATATTTCCATTGTAGGCTAGACAAACAATTCGTTTAGTAGCAATAAATCTTCCTCTGTTGTACTTTTTTGACTGTTAAATTATATTTTTCTACAAAATCCGCTCCAATTTATTTGAAATTTTACAGTAAATAGCAATATCTTTTGTGCGAGAATTTCTGCACCATTCATAAATGAAGGAATTGTTTTTTAAGTTCTAAATTTGAATCAGAAAAGAAACTTCAGTTTCATAAACTGCTAGTAAAAAATATTGGGGTTATTAATAGGTTGCTAATATGCACTAATAGGTGTGAGATTGTATACCGATATTGTTTTAAACGTGATTCAGTCAGAATGAGAAGTGGCGTGTTACCAAATCACCCGCGGGCCGCACAGAAGTATCTAGCGGGCCGTATGCGGCCCGCGGGCCGTATGTTGTGCAGGCCTGCCCTATGTCATTTTATATCCTCTTCTCTTTATTTTTAAAATATTCTTTTTCAAATTTTTCAGGTCAAAGACTGAAATTAGTGCTGGCAAAATCAGCCGAATTACGGTTCAACAGCCAGGTAAAATATTGGTGTATTAAGAAAATAATTGTTGACAAGAAATGAATTTCCAACACCAGCCAGCCGAAATCGATCATGGCTTTCTCCCTACCTCATTACTTTCTGCAAACGCGTTGTGGCCTAAGTTCAAAACCAACATGGGCAACGGCAGAAATTTAGCAAAATTCACACTTCGCGCTCACCAAACCAATGATTTTGTGTGCTCTAAAACAGGGGCGGGCAACTTCTCTAGTCGACGGGCCAAAAAATAATGTTCTCGGCGGGCCGGATTATAACATGAATAGTATTCAATATCTTAATCACATATTTATTCGCTAATGCAAGAAAGAAAATTATAAATCGCGTTTAAAGTAAAGTTTAAACTACAAAAAACACATAATGAATATATCATAATGTACTAAAAGTGTAATAATATGATATCATAATGTACTGATGTACAGTCAGCGGGCCGGTCAAAATCTTGTCGCGGGCCGGACTCTGCCCGCGGGCCGTATGTTGCCCACCCCTGCTCTAAAATCTTAATGTTTTAATTATAATACTAAAGATTGATTTTTATAGTGATCGGTTTATTACTTATCGATTTTAATCGGTAAGTATGTTGATAGGTATTTGTCTGTCTGTCTGTTAGATGCACGCGATATCTCCCGAAAACGAATCTGCTCCAGATTTTTCATGTGCATTTATCATATCTCGGACCAGAAGCCTATTGATTTTGGGCGAAGTATGTCGTATAATTAGCGAGTTATTAATTAATTAGTGATGAGACACAAGGTGTCACTATGGAGTAAGAGCGCTGTTTTGGGGATCCCTAACTTTTGATCGATAAGTCCTCGGTCTCTGACCGATATTCTCGTTATAATGTTCCCCATTGAATGAATCCCTTGTAAATCGAAACCAATTTATTAACAGATGCTGCACATTCTACATCAATCAGCCCAACTCAGCCAGCAGAAATATCTAAAGGCATCGAATCTTTGAATCTTTCACCGGAAGGAATTCAGTCCGATTCGATTGCAACTCCAATGCTAACAGGTAAACCTCTAATGCCAATTTGAATCATTTTCTTCTCGTCATAACCTCTTTACGCCACAACTGGGTTATAACAAATTAGTTAAGCAATGCCGAACAGGGAAAGTTTCGATACTTCCAAAATAAATAACTGCACTTTACCTGATCTATCTGTAATGGAATTGAACCCAAGAAACCTTTATTGCAGCGTGTAATGGCAATGTATTACGATACCTAATTTCAAACCCTAATTAATGGATATAATTTTAAGAGGACTTCCAGTGAGTTTTCGCATTCGTATCATCGATAACCGCCAGTTTTTGTTCATTGCAATTAAAATATACTAATTCTACAGGCGATCTCAGAGTGCAGGATCTTCACACGAAGACAGATAGAAAACCAAATCAACTTAACAAAACGCCACCTCGAACTCAGGAGCTCAATCAACAACCAAAACAAACAGCAGCCGGTCCAAGATATACGACCGCACAGAGTGGAATTAATGCCCCAAAGATTTCCATGCTTCGAAGTAAGTAAAAGTTTTTTTCTGCAACATGGTTTTTGGAGCAACCGGATTTCTCGATTCCTCTACGTTGAATATCTTTACTTCCAACTTCATATTCTTTGAATTCGACAACCAGGTTGTGCATATATATTACGCAATTCTCTATAACGATTTTTTTTTCTTCTAATTTTGTAATTGCATTTTGAGTTTACCAATTGTTCGAGAAATGTTTTGATACACCTTGTCCTTGAAATACACGGCCACAGAGAAACATTTGAGGTGTTAAGTGGAATGAGAGAGGTGCCCACATGACATCACAATTCTTGCTGATTTGAATCGCTTTAATTTAAATCGCTCTCTCAGTCAGTCAGGGGCGTGATTTGATACGTGGGGGGTCGATCCGTTAGGCTAGAATCACCAATCGACTTGATCTATCTACGTCGTCCAAGTGATGTCCAACGCTTTCTCAGCACCGCCACATAATGTTCCATATTCACCGCGTAATTTTCGTCTATAAACTAATACGGAACAGTTATGATATGTTTGTTGGGCAATGATTATTAATGCTGTTTTTGTGGGGTCACCCTGTATGTTAGGTCAGTGGTTCCCAAACTGTGGGTCGCAACGCATAGCGACATCGCTGGAAGATTTTCTGGGGTCGCCTAACTTCCTATGAGCGTGCAATAATTCACATACAATTAACTAGGATGTGAAATCAGGAAAGCGATATTTTCACTGGTCAAGGTAGTAATGAATGCTGTTTGATGATATATCCCCGTTTTCAGATTTTCTATACGCGTTAAATTCGAATAGGTAGTTGACTTTGGTCCGGATCTGGCAACATTCTTTACACGTGCACCTGCACTCTTTCGGCATCGCGATATACTGTAATAAGTTTTAGAGAGAAATAATGTGACAAAAGATAGATCCAGGTCCTAGGCCAGGGCTACTCAACTGGCGGACCGCGATCCGAATCTGGACCATTTGGGTATTTGATTCGGATTGCGCCAATTTTTTAATTTGGATCATTAGCCCCACTTTTGAAGTTTTCTTTTATAAAATCTCTTTTATAGATTTGATTATATATATTAATTAAAAAAATTAAAATTAAAGCTCGTGGTAGCTCCCCTGTCAGACGCCCAGCACCTACCTACCTGCCATCCTATTGGCTTGGTTGTTTTCCGTGGTTACGTACAATGTGTCTCACTCAGTTTCAGTTGGTAGCGAAATTCGGCGAGAAGACGATACGCGCGCGTAACAGTTAAAACAAAATAAATGAAAAAATAAACTAAAATTGCAAAATAAAAAAACGGAAACGCAACACAAAAATAAAAGAGAGTAAATTCTGATTTTGAATTTCACGTGTGTGTGCTGATCCTCGTATAAAACGGTCGATATCAGCCGTCAACTTTTACCAGCTCCTCTCACCTTCTTTGTCCACCATCCTCCCACCCTCCACAGTATTCGCTTAACTTAGTCGGCCAACGCCAAAGATAAACAAACATACCGTTCGTAGTTTTTACTCGTTATTTCTCTGTTCTTTCTTTTTTCCATGTATATCCTTTCTATTTATTATGCGTAATCAAATTCTAACATGTATTTGTTACCGGTTTTAACCATCATTATAATTTATACAATTGTTATGTCCGAGTTTTGTAGGGGCTTAGAACGGATTTGGGCATTTATGAGGTGTCTTTTTTATGAAATTTTCTACCTACGAAGGTGCTCCAAGAACGAACTATTTTCGTAGGAAAAGTTTATACTGTATTTTTTTTGTGGTGTCGCGAATATCTGTAAATGTTGATTTCACGAAAATTTGGGTCGCGGAAAAAAATTTTGGGAACCACTGTGTTAGATGATACGGAATATTTTTAGTTCGCGGTGAATCAATGGGCATGGGGTTTGAACTCGCAATTTACATCTGTTGGGTTGGGTTTTAAGCTTTTAACCAGAAGGTTCAAGTAAATTAATAAGACTCAAAACGAGAATATCGGGCGGAGACCGAAGACTTATCGATGAAAGTTGGGGGATCCCCCATTTATTCACTCTGACTCTATAGTGACACCGCGTGTCCCATCACCAATTAATTAATAACGCTAATTATACGACATAATTCATCCAAAATCAATAGGCTTTTGGTACGAGCTATGGTGAATGCACATGCAAAATTTGGGGCGATTGTGACTTTCGTGAGATATCGCGTGCATCTAACAGACAGACAGACAAACAGACAAATACCTATCAACATACTTACCTATCTTAAGATCGATAAGTAACAATCAGCCACTTTTACACAGGGAGATACTATTTTCAAAAGTTATTCCGTTCTGCTATATATTGTGAGATCCCTCATTGAGACTTTCAACGCACTGACTATTTTTTGTATAGGTTTTATTCATGATATATTTTATTTTCAGAAAAATCTTCCAAGTTATTCGACGAGTCCAAATATGAAGAAGCAGTCTCGATCTTAGAAGAACTGGCAACCCTGCAAAACCATCAGGATTTGGATACAATACTTATGATGGTCGAGTGTTTTATACAACTTGGTAGAGAGAAGAAAGCGGAAAAATCTATCGCCCACTTACGAAATATCTTGATGGCGTCATCAGTGACAAGTACTGATGACGTCAAAACCCTCGCAATCGATTTGATTTCAAATTCCGCATACATTCGCGCTATAATATTGCTTCGAATAGCAAGTGATATCTACAAGGCTCGTACAAGATCACCCGATGATGCAATAAATGGGATTAAACTTTGTGCCCGTAAGACATATGATGCAACTAAGCCATTGATAAAAGCCGGTGGTCGATCTAAAATTATAGGAGTGGATTACGGCATAGAATATATGACAGAAATGCTGGATGATATTCGCGCAAGAGAAAACGCTGATCCAGTGAATAAAGCAATACAAGAGGCTTGGTGCTTGAATTACATTGGAAATAACTATAACCTGGCAGGTGAAGATGAGAAAAGTATAAAAATACGGAAGAATGGACTGGAGGTTTTGGAGAAACAGTTCGGGTCAAACGCTTCAAAATATAAAATCTACGGTGGATTGCTGCATAATATCGGTGCAGATTATTATGATCTGCAGAAATATGCAGAAGCAGAACCTTATTTTATCAAAGCCATTGATGCTCGTGAAAAGGCTTCAGATTATAAGAATAAAGCTGAGAAAGAGAAATCGATTACATCGTCAAAAACTTGGCTCGAGATAGCTCGCGCACATTAACCTGATATCCGCACAGCATATTCGCGGCAAATCGTAATTTACTAAAATTATCTCAAACACTGAATTAAATATTCAATATTTTATTTCATATTTGTTAAGTAATTTGATACTGTAACAAATAGCCAGTAGACCATTTACATTAAAATTATCAGAAAAAATAAATATTGTTAAAAGATTTAAATTTCGCATTTTTCAATTATGTGTAATTTAATACTGTTAAAAAAATCAGCAGTTTTACTTGAATAGACTGGTCATATTCATTCTCCATAATTTTCATTTTATCATTTCAATCACATGTTTTATGAACAGCCGACCAAGCATGTTTCATAGATAAAGCAATATTTCAAAATATTATCATCCATGGACTATACTTGATCGGGATCGAGTTCATTTTATTTAGGAATTCAACACAGTTACTTTGAAATTTTGGTTGATTCATTGAATATTTTTAACATTGTACTCACTTTGTTGCAATGTCACACTCACTCATCTCTGGTCGAAGTTACAGGCCACTACTAAAGTGCCAAAAGCTACTGAAACTAGTTACAAATATGGTGATGCATTATGCGCACTCAGTCATAGTTAAAAAGATTCGTTTCTAAACAAAGTTATGGGTGACCATACCGATGCCAAGAGCTACTGAAATCCATTTCCCAATAAATTGTATCTCATACTGCTAGCATATGATAATTGGATTAAATTACTTTTCTGTTTTGTATTTAAAATTTGCATGAACTGTATATTGAGGGTCATATATAATACGTGATGCTTTTGTATGGGTGTGTATACTATAGCATGTCATGATCTATCAAAAATATTGTAACATTTTATTGCATTGCCAGAAGTTACTTCTAACTAACTGGTGGACTGATTTACCTTTATATTTTTCATTTGACAAGGATTAACTGGACAATGCTTGTTTATGGGTAATTTTTCATAAGCTGTTGGAAATATAGTAACATTATCTTGCATTGTCGCGAGTTATGATCTGGAATAACTTGTGGACTGGCATTAACCCGAGAGTGGTGAGGCATTGGCCAAGGTTTATTTACGCTTATGAAACAATATTTCCACGATGTTGAGTGAACTTCATTTTATGAATATTGTGTTGTATAAATTTTTAATTGAACTAATTGGGATTGTTTTCTTTTATTGTATTTTATCTTTATTCCATTATGTCATGATCAATTTTCATCCTCTGAATTGAAGTTTAACGTACTTTTCAATTGTTTTAACGGACCTCCTGAAGTATGCGCACCAAGATGGCGCACAGCCTGAAAA